TCTGCACTTAGAGAGGGCTGTAAAAACACTATGAAGTGGTATATAAGTCTAAGTGCTATTGCTATAATCTTTAAAGTCTCTTTTCTATGTGTTATTTTCTCGTGCTTATGAAGTATTTTAGGCCTCTTGTAAATATGGCCTTTCCTCTCTTTAAGCTGAGCAGTTTTAATGCTTCAATTGAATACCAGCTAGGAGTAACATGCTTTCTTCTATCCTACTAATAAAGAGTACTTTCACTGTTCTACCTCCATTCTTCCCAGTTTTGTCAATTGTACAACTGATATATATATACAATATCTTTGTTCCTCCTCTCTTCTCATTATATCTTCAGCTATGCATAGCCTAAAAACTTGGGTGACCATTTATTATTACAATAATACTGTGTAAATAATTACTAGAGATGGCCTCTCATTCTACCTTTAGTTGGAATATCAATGGTATTTGGAACCAGATCCAAAGGAAAGGCTTAGGGCAAAAGTTGTCTACTACTTTAGAAGTATTTCATACTATAGTTGACAAAACTGAGAAGAATGGAGGTAGAACAGTAAAAACACTCTTTATTAGTAGGGTGGAAAAAACCCCTTTTTATTGACCACTTAATGAATGGATAGACATGTTGAGTAGAAAATCAGGAACAGTCTAAACATTCTGCAGTATCTGGATACATGATGTCATACAATTTTGAATCTCATTATTGGTTTCCCTCATCTGTTTATTTTCACACTTCAGAGTGAACCTAGACACAGGAATAATTTATATACTGCTCAGCCTCTTGCTCATCCTTCCAAATAACTTCTAAAGCTTCCAAATCAAATTGGGATACCACATCTGTCTTGGGTTTAATGTTAAACCTTCCTCCCAATCACATAATCCTCTAAATCTTTGCGTCATAAATACATTTATATGAAATGACTTTCATATTTTATGTAATGGATATAACAAACGTTACCGCTACAACTCTGGCCCAAATATGAAAGCAAAAAACAAGAAGGACCATTACGATCTGCATGTTTTTAAATGTATGCAGTTAAGAAGAGGCAACCGTGACTGAAAAGAAAATATCCATTTGCTAACAAATTTATGTTTTTGCCTAATTGTTGCATTGGTTACACTTGAAGAACAATTTCAGAACTTCACCCTTCGGTTTTCCAAGGCTTTTATTGTACATTGTGTTCCAAAGAAAGTGGTGTTCCTGATGCGCAAAGCTTAAATCATTCTTTGTGATACATCAATTCAAATTTGTGGTTCATAATAACCTTTTCTGTAGAGCACTTTTTGAGATGGCTCCTGTGAAAAATATCACAGACTCTATTCTTCTGACTAGTGATTCATTGTATTTCCAAAACACTCCGTTTTCAATCATGATAATTGACTACAAAATGTAGTTTTTTGGCTTTAAATTAACCTTGCTAACATTTTATTTTTGTACTTTATTTTTATTCTGATTTTAGAAAGGTAAGTAAATTATCCTTATAAACAAAGAGATACACCAGAAAGAAAGGGGGGTCAGGAGGAAAATGTTTGAAACAAATAAAAATCATGAGCAGGTTTTTTTTCTGTTAAAATTCATACGTTTTTTTTAACCAAAGAAACCCTTCCTATCTATTTGTACCAATTCACTGGAGCCTCATCCCTCAGAAAGGAAACAGATTTGCACCGAATTACAATTTAGGGATACCCTAAAACAGTGATGGCTAATCTTTTTGCCATCATGTGCCAAAAGCAGGGGGAACACCGGGAGGTGGGTTCCTGCGTGCGCGTGTCCACACACATACTGTATTTTTTGGAGTATAAGACTAAAAAGAGGCTGAAAATCTGTGTGTGTCTTATACACTGAATATACCATTTTTTGCCTTCTGAAGCCCACCCCTTCACCAGAATGGTCGTGCATAGCCTTATGGAGGCTTTCAGACAGTTCCTGGGGGCTAAAGAAGGCAGAAATGAGCAAAAAATACAGTATGTGTGTGGACACGCGCACGCAGGAACCCACCTCCCGGTGTTCCCCCTGCTTTTGGCACATGATGGCAAAAAGATTAGCCATCACTGTTTTAGGGTATCCCTAAATTGTAA